AGCTGAAGATGATGTAGAAATCGCAAACTCACTAGATTTCCCGAAGTGTTCGGGAACAAGACCCCCCCAAAAAGAAGGAGCAACACCAACCTCGTATAGTGAATATGTAGATCATATGTCTCGTCGGTGATGTCGGGGTGCAATATCTCCAAATACTGTCTAATAGTTGTCAAACCAATGCGACTGGCCCCTGAACGTACAGTCTCATCCTGTGGCCTGAAACCAGTAAGCTACTGCAACAAGTCCAAATACTAGCCACGCGACATATATCTCATACACTGAGGCAGTGCAACGGGTAGTCCATCAGCAGGCATCCTATATAAAACCTCAACATCTTGCAGCGTGATGGTGGCCTCGCAAATGGGCAGGTGGAAAGTGTGTGTCTCGGTCGCCACTGCTCTATAAAGGCCGTGATCAGAGACCAGTCGAGCTGCAACCGCCCAATCTAAAAAATCCTATAGATGCCCGTATCCCGCAGGCGCTGGACTACACGGGGATGGAAATCTTTGCCCCTCATAAAGTTCCACAAGTCGTCCACTCTCCTGGCGCGAAGAGTCTGGGCCAGTAGCTCTTCCTCCCATACGTAGGCAGACCTATGATCACCCTGTAACACTAATAGCTCATCGGAGACAGGTCCAGGATGCACAGGCGGCACGTCCATGTCGTCTACTGTAAATTAAACAATATTAATTGTGTGTTTGTTTAGTAAATTATTAATATTTAATTATTTAATTGGACAGAGTATATATCTATGGGTTCCAGGTTAGATATTTGAGGCCAGTAGCACCAAGCTATCTTGAATTCGTATGTGTGTCAATTTTAATTTTTTCATAATTTTGTGTGTTTGTTTTATAAATTAAATAATTTATTTTTGTAAATTGTAATTGGACAGAGTATATATCTATGGGTTCCAGGCTCGATATTTGAGGCCCAGTAGTACCAAGCTATCCTGAATTCTTATGTTTGTCAATTTTAATTTTTTTCATAATTTTGTGTGTTTGTTTTATAAATTAAATAATTAATTTTTAATTGGACAGAGTATATATTTATGGGTTTCAGGCTCGATATTTGGGGCCCAGTAGCACCAAGCTATCCTGAATTCTTATGTGTGTCAATTTTAATATTTTTATAATTTTGTGTGTTTGTTTTATAAATTAAATAATTAATTTTTAATTGGACAAAGTATATATCTATGGGTTCCAGGCTCGATATTTGAGGTCCAGTAGCACCAAGCTATCCTGAATTCTTATGTGTATCAAATTCAATATTTTTATAATTTTTTATTTTTAATTGGACAGAATATATATCTATGGGTTCTAGGCTAGATATTTGAGGCCCAGTAGCATCAAGCTATCCTAAATTCTTATGTGTGTTAATTTCAGTATTTTTATAATTTTGTGTGTTTGTTTTGAAAATTAAATAATTAATTTTTAATTGGACAGCGTATATAATTATAGGTTCCAGGCTCGATATTTGAAGTCCAGTAGCACCAAGCTATCCTGAATTCTTATGTGTGTCAATTTCAATATTTTTATAATTTTGTGTGTTTGTTTTGTAAATTAAATTATTAATTTTTGATTGGATATAGTATATATCTATGGGTTCCAGGCTCGATATTTGAGACCAAGTAGCACCAAGCTATCCTGAATTCTTATGTGTGCCAATTTCAATATTTTTATAATTTTGTGTGTTTTTTTTGTAAATTAAATAATTAATTTTTAATGGGACAGAGTATATATCTATGGTTTCCAGGCTCGATATTTGAGGTTCACTAGCACCAAGCTATCCTGAATTCTTATGTGTATCAATTTCAATATTTTTATAATTTTGTGTGTTTGTTTTGAAAATTAAATAATTAATTATTAATTGGACAGCGTATATATCTATAGGTTCCACGCTCGATATTTGAGGCCCAGTTGCACCAAGCCTTCCTGAATTATTATGTGTGTCAATTTCAATATTTTTATAATTTTGTGTGTTTGTTTTGAAAATTAAATAATTAATTATTAATTGGACAGCGTATATATCTATAGGTTCCACGCTCGATATTTGAGGCCCAGTTGCACCAAGCCTTCCTGAATTATTATGTGTGTCAATTTCAATATTTTTATAATTTTGTGTGTTTGTTTTGAAAATTAAATAATTTATTTTTAATTGTATAGCGTATATATCTATGGGTTCTAGGCTCGATATTTGATGCCCAGTAGCACCAAGCTTTCCCGAATTCTTATATGTGTCAATTTCAATATTTTTATAATTTTGTGTGTTTGTTTTGAAAATTAAATAATTAATTTTTAATTGTACAACGTATATATCTATGGGTTCCAGGCTCGATATTTGAGTCACAGTAACACCAACCTTTCCTGAATTCTTATATGTGTCAATTTTAATATTTTTATAATTTTGTGTATTTGTTTTGTAAATTAAATAATTAATTTTTATAAATTATAATTGGACAGAGTTTGTGTTTGATCTATCAATATAGTAGATACTTAAACTACAAGGATTCTACGCTAAAAGTCTCTACATTTACTACGCTAAAAGGCTCTATATTTTATTACGCTAAAAGGGCACTAGTCTTTAAGCAAATAAATAATCCAAACTAAATAAAAATAACAAATATATTTTAACAACATAACATTCACAAAATTACATATAACACAGTTAAAGAAATTTATGAACATTTTTATTAAAAAAAAATAATTTCTCAACTTTTAAATATTTTTTTAAAACACTAATCTTAATCCAGATAAAAATAACATACTAGTTTAATCGCAAACAAAACACAAAACAACATGGAAACACATTCAAGACAACTAATATGCATTATTATACGAGTTTCGACATAAACTAAATCGGAATACCTCGCTTTATGTATTTAGAAAAGTCAAAAAATTGAAATTTTGAGTCCGAAACGAGGAAACCACAATAATAGAAGGCTTGGGTTGGATGTGGGACCTACAAACTTATCTTTTTGTGTGACGGGTGGGGTCCACTCGATTNCGCTATACTTTAACGGCAGAAATACCGTTAAAGTATAGCACGGTGTAATACCGCGTTATATATGTAAAAGTATCTTCTTATTTTTTTTTAGCAGTAGAAACGTATTTTGAGTCCAAAACCACAACATTTAGGTTTCGGACTTTCTGAAGTTGTTTGTAATTGCTGAACTTAAGCATTCTATTAGCTGAAGTTTTATTCTCTATTTGCTGAATTTCAACATGTTTTAGCTTAAGTTTTTCGCGTAAACCTAGTGTTGGCTGAAGTTTTTGTTTGTAGTGTTGAACTTAAGCATTCTAGTAGCTGAAGTTTTGTTCTCTATTTGCTCAACTTCAGCATATTTTAGCTGAAGTTTTGTTCTATAATTAGTTTCTTTACTGCTCAATTGGGTAGCCATGTGATAGTATTCAGAATCCATCTGTACGCATATCTTATTTGGGATAAGGTAGGATAGTTATGGAGTAGTTTTCAACTGTGGTAACTTGGTACTAATAGTTAACTTTCTGCAAATCCCCCGAAAAGTGTCGCCTTGATCAGCTAGGCAAAACATGAGAGTTTCATTTGCGGAAGAGGAAAAGAAAAGAGGAAGAAAGGAGCGCACACGTAGCTGGAAGAAGGAGCCGCCTGAAGTTTTAAAAATTACGGTATAGATTAAATAATTTTAAAAATATTGGTATAAATTAAATAGGGACAACCAAATAGGCCGCCCGTACAATCTTTACTGGATCACACTTTAGACTTTAGGGTCTTTATGATTAGGGGTCGACAAAAATTATCTGAAATTCAAGCTACATTTACACAAACCAAAAAATTGAGTTATTGAGTTGAAGTCAGCATCACTTGAGGGTCGAAACAACATTGAGTACTGTGCTTGAAGATGAACCAGGGAGAAATTCCAAAATAGCCAGATTTACAACTGGTCGTTTAAAAATAGCCCAATTTTAAAAGTAATCGAAATTTAGCCACTTTTCATGTAAAGATAAATTTGAGCGAAAACACTGTTCAAAACCCGAAAAATACGCCAGTATATTATGCTGGAGTTCCAGCATAAGTATACTTGAACTCCAGCATATTATACTGGAGTTCCAGGATAAGTATGCTAGAACTCCAGCATAATATGATGGAGTTCCAGCATAAGTACACTAGAACTCCAGCATAATATACTGGAGTTCCAACAAGTATACTTTGTTGGCTCCGGCATAATATACCGGAGTTTGGAGCATCGGTGCTCCAGTCTCCAGTATATTATACTGGAGCCAGCAAAGTATATCAGTCCAACATAATATGCTAGAGTTCATACACAGGTGCACCGAACTCCAGTATATTATGCTGGACCGGTCCCTGTTGCAGCAAAATAGTGACTATTTTTCATTGACTTGATAAACGCTGACTATTTTTAAATGATCAGTCCGAAAATTGGTTATACCGTGCTATTTTTTCCATGAACCAAGAACATGGTTGGCCGTTTTAATAATGTGTGGTCTTTCAAAATTGGCCCACTGGGCACTGGCCTCAGAAGGTCCTTCAGTACCTTTCCCTCAGGCCTCAGGCTTGGGTCAATTAGCCAATTGGGTTGCTGTTTGAGTCCCTCAGATGATTTTATTTGACTATCACTATGCAGGCTAGAATGTAAAATGTGCAATCATACGACTGTCTTCATTGCTTGTTAGATTTAGTCAAATTTGTAATTAGTTAATAAAATAGGATAAAAACTACAAGTTTCTATACACGCGTTGAGAAACACAATGAAGTTCACGACAACCACACCTTATGCTAAATCAACAATTTCAGACGAGAAATTCTCGTCTTTACATGGATTTGTAGGAAAATTTATGGTTAGCTGCTCAGTCCGATGTGAAACATCATTATCAGATCAAAATATCATCTAATAATCAATGTAGGGACTAAGGGAGAGAAACGAAAGGCCTTCCTGTAGTATCAAGATCTGTACAGTAACGCCTTCCAACAAATAGTAAAATCTTTACTATTTCACAGCCTGGTTCCACCCAAAAAGTTAATACCATATCAAAGCAATAATATCCATTTTAAGACCAGAAAATACACATTTCTTTATTCATTTAGAGACCCCGCCCTGTACAATAAGTTTAAATCAAAAGGAACTCCTAATATACACTCCAAAGACTGAGATCTCCTTCCATGCACCAACCTAAAGAAATCAGGCAACCTCCTGTAGGGTAAAGAATAGCTTACTGTAAAAGGAGAATTTTACATTGAACCGTCTAGTAGTAAGATTGTAGGAAATTGTTGCATTTATTGCTGATAGAATAATTGATGGTCAGCAGCAATGCAGAAACGCTCATTTTGGTAGTTCAGATACCACTGAATCCTCCACTTTCAGAGCTTAGGCACAATGTGTTTAGCACAACAAATCTGACATGCCACAAGAAACATGAAAGTATCACACCTTAATTGGATTGTATTTCTCTCCCATTAGCCCTCCTTTTTGTCTCTGAAATTGAACATAGCGCAATGTGCTGGTGAAGAAAGCGTCCGAAGCAGAATCTGGGGTCGTGGTGTCACTCTGCATCTCAGTTTTAATCAACTCTATAAGGCTCTGAATTGCACCAGGTGTTATTTGAGGGTTCCCCTTCTCAAAAAAATAGAGGTACCTGAGGCCAGAAATAGATTCATTACAATATAAAACCTATGCCTGCAATCTAGAACCCAAGTTTCAGTTTACAGCATTAGTGTTCTGATTACTAACTTGTTAAGTATTTCAACAAAAAGTGTGACAGGTCCACTGCTACCCCTTGTAACATTTGCCTGTTGCTGTGCTGCATTAGCAATCCGCAACGAACGCTTTAGGCAAAGCAAGACCCTGTGATACCAAAGGCAGCACATCATATATTTCAGGGCAACAGAATAAAAGGGAAATCTATAAATTAAAGCAAAATGCAAGACTTTGACTCCTGAATGGACAAAGCTATGGAAACGAAAAGTTCAAGTGTACTTAGAAGATGCATCAATTGAATATGCATATAACCCAATTAAAAATGAGAATTTGAGGATCACTCTTGCCAACCTTTCTCCATCTTTAATACCATCTTGATCGTCAACCCAAAAGAGATGTGAACAAGCATAAACTGCTCTACATTGATCAGGTTTCTTTAGAAGTTTTGCTGAATACTATACATCAAAAAATGTTCCCATTGTTAGATGACAATTAAATAGATAGACGGACCCAAAGAGATTAGAAGTAAAAATTACCCCTGTGGCCTTATGAGTTAAGGTATCCCTGTTCTCAACACCAAACACAGTCATCTTCTGAAGAGTTCCAATTATCAAGTGTATTGCAGTCACTTGCGCTTTTGAATCCTAATACCAAGTGCAAGAAGCTTAAGTAGAACTTTGAGCAGATGACAAGGTAAATGCGAAGAAGCATACTATATAAACACATTGTTTATGGTTGAGCAATTACCGCAACTTCTTCTTCATATAGTACAAAAGCTTGTGTAAAAAATTCATACGCAATTGGTTCAAGATCACAATCATTGGCAGCCTGAGGAACAAAAGCAAGTTTCATAAATAAATAAAAAACTAATGGATTGAGTAAAGTTTTGATGCTCACCTAGAGAAAGCGAAGAAGAGACTCTTTCACGTGAAATATATAAAATAGATGCGCTCACACAAACATGTATAGATCACAGGTGCTGCTGGAAGGCATTTCTCAGTGAACATCATATTGCAGAGAGAGACACTTTTTGTTCTTTTTTTCAATGAAGAAAGACAATTTCCTTATCTTTTTTTTTTTTTTGTAAAGCATAAATGGACAATTACCTAATGGAATCTTTTGAATTGCCTATGAAATTGCAAAGGAAGACAGTTTCCTAGGCAATTCAAATAGATTCCACTAGGTAATTCTCGTGCTATGCTTATAAACTTGAGCTGATTCTGAGGGCACGAATGAGGTGAAAAGGAAGAAAAGAGAACACGAAATAGGTCTAATCCATCAGCACATATCCACTTTTTGCTCTAACTGTACTCCCAATCTTTTAGCCATGATTATCTTTTTCTTCCAATCATTGCCCATCCACCCAGTGAAGGGGTGAGGTGGTTGAAACCTCAAATCTCAGAATAATCTTACGGCATAATTTAGAATTTTAAGGAGATATTCCATGACATAGATGTCTGAAAATTCTTGTAAATGTTGGACAGATTCTAAAACAGAACAGTCTTTCATTTATAGTCTAAAGGATGAATACATATGTGGCCCCTTAAACTTGCCCGAATTTTTCATTTAGACACCTATACTAAAAGTTGTTCCAATTGAACACCTGAACCTGTTCACAAGTGTGCCTATTGAAACACATATTTAACAATTCTACACAAACCAAAGTGTGTGCATGCTACTCGCTGTTGACGTGGAGAATACGACCGATCAGAAAAAGACACATCAACAAAGTATAAAAAAATGAAAATCTCAAGGAAAAAAAAAGAGAAAGAAACAAACATTGACCGGAAAAGAGGACTTCCGCTGAATGTTCTATCTTCTCCAATTTATTATCTCTCATTTTGTGGTCTTTCTTCTTCCTCTTAACATGAAAAATCAAATCTGCTGGGTCAAGAAGACGAAGAAAGTTAATCGGAATAAATTGCCGCCACCCTCCAATCCCTGTTTAATTCTTCAACCACCTCTTCACCGTAGCTAAACCAACAACCATTCCTCTGTTGCTTCCACCAGCTCTCCCATTTTCGATTCTTCGACCAACTGGTGGATAAGGATTACTTGTAGCAGCTGGCTTCGACGGCATATAGCTACGGGAATTTTTGGGGAATGTGGTGGAGATGGAAGCGTAGTGGTGGAGCAGTGTCATGGTATTGGTGGTTGTTTCAGGTGGTTCTTAAGCTGGCTGGTGCAAGGTGGCCTTTTTGGTGGTTCAGAAATGGTGGAGGTAGTGGCTATGGTGGAGGTGGGCAAAGAGATGGCGGTGGGGTAGTGTCAAAATCTCCCATATGTCTTGAAATTCTGGAATTTATAAATTGCATCTTTTCAAGATTTTTCTTGTACTTGCTAACTTCAGATTCTCACATATCCAACTAGTAGTGCTGCTATTAATTTGATTCCAACTTCTTCTTGATCAGTAGAAACCACACTGAAGTATCCTATTGCTCATCAGTTTGGCTTATGCTATGTTAAAAAAATTCTGTTCCATCTCTAATCTATGAGACTGAGCTTGTTCAGGTGGCTTGGTTTTCATTCCTCGTGGCTATAACACTAGGCTTAATTACTTTCTAAAAGCGAATCCCTAAGATCTCCGAAAAGTAAAGAGGGGACGTTGGCCAGCGTAGAGGGGTGGCAGCAGATAGGAAGGGAATGAGATAGAAAAAAAAATTAAAAAGATAACTTAAGTCTTTTCACTCTCTCAAAAGGAGGTGTGATACACTCTCCACGCCATGTCGGCAGCATGTGTTCAATAGACACATTATCAACTAACATCAGGAGAGGTGTCTAGATGAAAAACTCGGGCAAGTTTAAGGGACCATGTATGTATTCAAGTTCAACCTAGTCTAAAATTAGTCATTTAAGGCAAATTAAAAGGTTTGTTTTTTGCATTTTCACAAACCCTTCAATTTCTGTTGATGAAATATTAGTCTACTTCTTATCTGTTTGATGGCTTATATTAGTCTCTATTAGGAGTGGGCCGAGTGGCAAACGGACGGGACGGGTCGGGTCGGATATGGTTCGGGTCGAAAACGGGTAATGAAAAAACAGATAAATCATCCGGCCCAACCCATATTTAATACGGATAAAAAACGTGTTAACCGGCGGATAATATGGGTAACCATATTATCCGTGACTTCTTGCATATGATCATTTTTGGGAGAATTCTTAGTCCTCTAACTTGAGGAACCCCCAATTTGAGGCTTTACAAATGTAAAAGTTAGACCCATTGGTTATCCATTTTCTAAATGGATAATATGGTTCTTATCCATATTTGACCCCTTTTTAAAAAGTTCATTATCCAACCCAGTACATAATATGGGTGGTTAATTGTTTTCTTTTAACTATTTTGCCACCCCTAGTCTCTATTAAATATTATTCTACTTGCAATAGCAGAATTTGGAGCACAAACCAGGCCATCTTTTCAGAATGTATAGAGGCAGAGAGCTTGTAAAACCTTATGTTTTTATATTGTTTATTTCTAATTAAAGTAGTTATCCTGGACTTTTTGTTACTAATAAATAGAAAAAGTTTATTATCTATACTTTCAGGAAGTAGTTTACTTATTGGCCTCTTAGAGGGGTTTCCTCAATAGTATCATACACAACATTTCCAGAGCATATAAAATGATCAATTGTTCACCTCTGCACACTGCAAGTACAACCTCAATGCCAGTTCTGACGATGGAACTGATGAAAGAGCCTCGATAGTCTGCATACAGGATTAGCTCAATCAGCAAAATGCAACACACAAGGGGTTATCTGGTAGTTAATAAACAAAAGACAGGAATCAAATGGAAGCAATTGTATCCTAATACCATGAATGAAACTGAACACAAAAGACCAACAAAGTTTACACCTGAAGATCACCGATATGAGGAGTGGAGTGGAGAGGAATTACCAGTCTGCAGTCATGACTTATAATACCTTCTCTCAGAAGACAAATTAAAGAAAAAAGCATTCTAGTGTACTGCATCACCAGTGAAGAGATCATCCAGGAGAGGACATGTGTGCCACATCTCATAACCATGGTGAGAAATAGATCAACAATGAATAAAAATCAAAGGCTACAAAAGAATGCCACAGACTGATTATAACGACAATTATAAGTGGCAATATCCAATAGCTGATATTACCTCATTCATTAACTGAAAAATTTTCTTTGGTGTAGCTGGAACCTCTTCTCCAGCCATATCTCCATCCTGACCTTGCAGTCTCCTAACCAACTTCCATTCGATCGAGAAAATATTTCAAAATTATGATCCTGAAATTTCAGGGTGGATGGAAAGAAGAAAGTAGCACTGTACAAACTCTACTGGAAGCATTTGAAACATTCAATTAATGTTAAGTCTTCAGATTTCATTACAAGTTACGCTTTGAAGCGTAACCCATTATCTCTAGAAGAAACAAATAGACTTGCAGACTGGAGTGGAAGGGGCAAATGTGGTATTCCTGCTTACCTGCCCATGCTAGAACAGTTCTTGTAAATCGAATGTCTGTATATAATTCCAAAGACAACTAGAAATTTTTTTGCAAGTGCGCTGGATGACAGAGAGAGAGAGAGAGAGAGAGAGAGGAGTCGTTTTCAGCACCAGCAGAAACTGCCTATAGATGCTAAATATCATCTATTTATTTATCTATTTTGATAAGAAAATCATCTATTTATTTACTTTATTTGCATGACAATGCCCAAAAATATTGCTGATGGGATGGCATGCAATGGTAAATGGTATTACAATTATTCAGTATCTTTTTCTAATAGAATTAATGTCAGAAGATCAGGGGATTCTACTAAATGCATACTGCATATAGACATCAGCATAAATCGCTAACTACCAAAAGGGGAAGGGGGAGAGGGGG